TGTTCAACCATCAGTCTATTGTGATTAAACCCATTTATGATTGTACTTACACAAGTAAAATTGTGTATCATTCACTCTATATTCACAATATTGTTTCTTTGAATGATTGGGGATCTCCTTTTCAACTCCGAGATTTGCCTGGTCATACCATTCAATACAGTTACTATGATTACATTGATGCTCGGTTCAAAGTTCTCTTGTATCAAAATGAATCAAATAGTCACTCCTGGTTTCTCCATTTTGATCAAAAGTTCAAATCTGAATTACCTACTTGGTTTCTGCGATGGAGGACTCAGTATGACGCCGTTTCAGAAATCTTCCCAGCTGTAATCATGGAACAAGTCAACTATTTCTCCACCATTTTCTTATTTACTCCACAGCAAAGGAAATTCCCTCCATTGCTTATTTTTATATCCAAACATAAAATCCCTTGGATATTCAAATGGCAATATGGTATTTCTGATGATGTTATTTATCGACAACACATAGTTAAATTGTGGGATAATTTCAAGATTCAACACATTGTTGAAATTGTTCAAACTGAATTTCCAATCAACATTCATGCCCTTACACCTGCCATGATTAAAGCTCAGCAGAACCCAACTGCTTTATTAGCCCAAGGAAGCCAACTTTCTCCAGTTAATCTTGGAAGCCCAACATCCAATTCTTCCAAGCCCAAGTCATCCAAATCAAAGATTAAATCCAAGTCAGCAAAGCCCAGCACTGATCAGCCCAAGTCAAAAGATAAGTCTAAATCCAAGGTTAAGCCCAAGTCCAAGTCATCTAAAGATGAGCTCCTCCAAATGGCTCGTCTCCTTATGGCCCAAGCCAAGTTAGACTCGGATAACAGCAGTTCAGAAGATGGTTTAGACAGTTCAAACTCTTCTGAAGGATCAACTACTCAAAATCCTTATGGACCCGAATTTCAAGATACTCAGGATCCATATGCCTAGTCAATTGTTCAACCAATCAACATTGGATTCTATATATATGCATTATAGCTTCACTCTCTACTCATTTTTTGAGAAAAGCTGCTATTTTGTCTATATATTGATTTCCATCAGTCACATGCCACCGAAAGCTATGAATAGTAAAAGCCAAAGTCATTATAGTCAAAAGCTTCAATCAACTTTAATCATTTGGCCGAAAGTAGCAGACAGCACCCATGTGCTCCATCATGCTCTTCCAGCCACTAGTCACATGCTGTATAGTTATTTTATTTTGCTTATAAATTTGTGATTCTAGTAAATTGTTAGGCAGAGTGAGAAAAAATTTGAGAAAGCATTCCTTCCTCAAAAATCAGTTAGCTCTGTAATTTATTTGCTATGTATTTCAAAGCAATTCTTTGCAGCTACTTCTATTAAACAATTGTAAGTTTTATTAATTTTATTAATGTTTATTTTATTTTAACAATTGTTTTCTATTTATTTTAGTGCTATTTCCTTTCCTTTCCTTTCCTTCCTTGCTTCCTTGCTTCCCTGCTCTGTGTATTTAAAAAGTAAAAAATTTGTGAAAAATATTTTAAAAAATTAATAAATACATAAAAATACAAAAAATATACTGAATTCTTATATATTTTTTATTTTTTTGTATTTTTGGTATTTAGTGAATTTTTTACAATTTTTTTACTTTTTAGGTGTATTTATGTTAGGTGTGTCTAAAAAGTAAAAAATTACTTAAAATATTATAAAAAAAATTAGTAAAAACAGAAAAACACAAAAAATAAGAAAGTAGAATTTTCTGAAAAGTATTTTTGGAAAAATGGAACCAAGCAATAGATTTTTTTTTTTCAAGTTTATCTTATTTTATTTTTGAATTTTTAAATTTCAACTTGATTTCTTTTTTTCAATTTTCATTTGATGTTGAAAAATCTAAAAATCTCCTAAATATTGATTTGTGATTATGTATCAATTTTAACCAGTAAATAGCAATCCCAATCAAATAATCAAAGACAATCAACACAATGATTTTATGTGGAAAAACCACAATTGGAGCACCTCCAATTGTGATAAAAAAAATCACAGGCAAAAGCCACAAAACAATCCACTTAGAAGACATAAAGGAGTTACACAAGTATACTCTCAGTTACCTAGTGAATCCACGTCCAAATCGAACCGACCCCAATGTGCTTCTTCCACCAACGTCTTCACCTTGGAATTGTCTTGCCTAACGTTGAACCCATAACGTTGATGTCGAATGCACGACGATGACCCACTCTAGAATCCACCAAAGCTTCAAGCCTGAATTTCCCGAAATCCACCGAAGAACAATTCTTTCTTTTGTATTGAATGAAACAAACAATCCTTTGATGTATACTTCTTAAACCATGAGTTAAACTCAAGCAAACATCAAAGAAACTATCAAAAAAAGCTCCAGATGAAAACCTTAATACCCAAAAAGAAAATTTGGAAGTCGTCTCTAGAAACAGATTGAATCGCATATTAATAGAAAACAGAATTGCGATCTCCGCTCAAGAGCAAGAATGGCCACTTGAGCGAAGTGACTAAAACGCGTGTTTCAGAACACATATCTACGCTAGAGCACAGGAAAGGCCGCTCGAGCAGAAAAATACAACTCCCAGTACTTTTGCAGGCGAGTGAAATTTCTAAAAGGTCACGATCTCCGCTCGAGCCGAAAAATAACCTCGATCCCCAACATAGTCAACGAAGTGGCAAACATGACAGGATTAAACTCACAAACTCCTCTACATAGGCACAATTCGGGTTGGATTTGCATATAAAAACTCATAGCCTCACTGAAATAAAAGAACGAATAAAATTACAACTGAAAGAAGTTTTGTCAAACGAGATTGTCAAGAACAAAAACCTAACAGATGTTTACTGAATTTCTCTCTACCTCATTTTTCTATAATTTACTTAATTTTCTCTTTTTATATTCTTATAGTTCATCCTCAAATTTAAACTTAATTTTTTTTTTATCTTTATCTTATATTTACAGAATCTACTCTCGCTCTTGATTTTCAATTGAGTTTATTCATTTTTTGAAGATTTATCTAATTTTCTCTTTCTATATTCATCTTCAAATTTAAACTTTATTTTATGTTATTTTTATCTTATATTTATAGAATTTCACTCTTCCTCTTCCTTTCCTTATTTGGAGAATGTAACAAGTCCTCTCTATAAAGAGGTTAGTGATCATTGTAACAATATAATAAAGACAACAAGAAAGAAAAAGAAGAAATTTGAATATATAGAGTTTTTATTAAGGTATTTGTGTCTCTTTAGGAGCTATGGTTGTACATCTCTACAAGCATTGTTTTACATATATGAGTGAGTTATGTTTTATTATTATTAATGTCCACCATGGTTGCTAGAGTCCATCAATCTATTAAGAGTTCCTAATTGGAACCGAATTGTCTTAGGTCTTATTTGATTAGCAGGATTAATATTAAAATGATTAATAATCCTATGAATTAGTGTAAAATTAGTTCTCATATAAAATTAGTGAGGTAACCATTTATTATATATTCATTTTATTTTATTTTTCTTTCATACTTGAAATTATGATCTTCAGCCCCTTTCAATGTTAAAAATTCGCTGATTTTATTGAATTAAATGTCCGTAATACATGTAATTTGATTAATAAAATTTATAATCAAATATAAAATTGTGAATTTATGAATTAATAATTTCAATTCTATTCTATAATCTTACTAATTAAACATACTCTTATAATTTCAATGGAGATGATGGTAGTCAAGGAGGAGGAGTGAGGTGGTCACCAACGGGGAAAAGGATTTGCCATAGGGAATGGGAACTGGGGGAGAGTGACAAAAGGAGGAGCTACCCGAGGAAGGTTGTAGGAGTGAGGATCCGAAGGATAGAGTTATAGCATCAGCATCAGTATCTTTAAAATAACAAAAAGTTAAAATATAATTAATAAATCATCAAATTCTCCCTCCATCAGTCTCAGTAAATAAACAAATTAGACAAATCAAACCCACAGCTAACCTCTAGATATTCTTCCTATTTTCTTCAAATATTAAAGCTTGAACAAAATAAAAACAAAAAATGTCACAATTAAACAATTACTTTTAATATGTGAAACTTTTTTTCATCATATTCCAGTTGGGGTAATATCTGTCAAAACACTTCCAGTATACAATACTACTAATAGAACTTATAAAAGGCGTGTCAATGAAGCACAAACATTTCAAAGCCCAAATGATGAACTAAAGGTTTAAGATCTAACACGAGGCCTTTAAAGGACAGGGAACATCATTGTGAGAAGACATAAAAATGCAATCAAGTAAAGACAACCAAACATGCAGAACTAAGCTTCTTACGGAGCTCATCCAATTCCGATTGATAGCATGAGAAACCACATGTTTTAACAGCATTAAAATCCACAAGCAAAAATAAAGGTGAATAACCAGTAGCAACAATAATTCTTTGTTCTCACATGATAAAAAAATCTTATTCCAATCTCTAATCAGAGTAAGAGGGGAAGGGGAATGGAGGCAGGATAAGACAAATCATTGCTTACTTCTAATATCCATACTACCCTTGTTTTTTACCGGTCATACCTGCAACCACCTGCAAAGATGCAATCCGAATAATCAAATTAGTTAAAATTACCCGTGCACAAAATTCTTCCATCAGGTACATATGTATATTTGAAGTAGTACATAAAATGCTCGTAACGTAAAAAATCACTTTCGAAATGTTGAAATGCATAAAAAAAAAAAACCTTAGGGGTAAAGTACATGGTTTTTATAGGGGAAGAATCCTAGTAATTTTTCTAGGCAAGACATCAAAAAGGAGCCCAAAACTCCAGTTATCAAGGTCTAGAGAAAGCAGCTGGGAAGCACTAGGGTCTACAAAAGGCAGCTATTGGAAGATGCCTAGTGATTACAATAACATCCTAATCTCATCATACCAGCACCAAATATAATATAAGGCCCACCATTTGATAAGTCATACAGTTAATTAATTACTAAGAAACATCAGATGGAAGGACTGGAATACTGGCATTGCAAAGTCAGTAATGCACTGGACATTCCTATATAGATTAGCTGTACTACGTCCTGACATGATGTAGGGTGAGTAGAAGACATAAGAAACATCATATGGAAGGACTGGAATACTGGCATTGCAAAGTCAGTAGAAGACATAAGAAACTAATTGATGCACCTTCACTTTCTCATCTCGAATATGCTCAGGTGTAAGAGAAATAGGCTTCTCCATAGCAATGAGGCAAAGAATCTGCAGTTGGCAAGAATATATGTCTGTTACATCTTAAAGAAAAATGATAAACAAATTGGAGGGACTGTTGTGAATAAATTTATATATCTATCATTTTAATATTATCTACTCTAACTTGATGTCATGGCCTCACCTGCAATAGATGATTTTGAATAATATCACGAATGATTCTGCAAAAAGAAATGATAAACAGATTTAATAATGCCAGGCTAGTTACCAATTCTCAGAAATATGAAGAACGGGGAAAATTTTTTGCATAAGCTTTTCCAAGTAAAATTACATCTACTTGTTTACACATTGCAAATTGGAAAACGAAAACAAAACAGTGCAGAATACAGTTTGAAGGTCTAAGATTTTTATATTAAAACAAAGAAGAAAACTGTTAACAGATGGTAAAACCATGACTTTTATAAACTAAGTCCTAATCCGTGAACAAATCTTGCAACAAATGAATTATGACCTTCTATGGGATTCTTAAAGAAGAAAACTGTTAACAGATGGTAAAACCATGACTTTTAGAAACTAAGTCTTAATCCGTGAACAAATCTTGCAACAAAAGACTTATGACCTTCCACAGGATTCTCAATTTCTAGGTCCTAATCAATCGACAAATCTTACAGAAAAAGATGTGAGGTTCCACTTGACATGCCCATATTCATCAAAATATCCACCCCGACCCTCAGTTCCAAAATCCTCCCTAAACACAATCTGCAAGAAGAACAAGAAAATAAAAAAACAGGAACAATAGGAACAACAAGGGAAAAGAAAAAGATTAACATTCAGGCTTGTAGCATATACGTTGGTACTACCCTTTAAGCAGGACAATCACAAAAGGGGAATAATATGGCAAATCTCTCTGCAGCTACTCCACAGGTCTGCTTAACCTTACCAGTAATGCTTTTACTTGATTCACATTTCCAGACAACTTTATTGAAATAAAATGGAAAGAAAAAGAAGAATGAATGCTTACCTGTACATTGTCAATGTTGTCACGATTCCACAGTTGCAGGAAAAAGTGATTTGCAAAACGAAGTACCAACTGCACACACACACACACAAAAAAAAAAAAAAAAAAAAAAAAAGTA